TCTAAAATAATCACGCAACAGTAATGCATTCAAGTAACACCGATCACAAATGAAGGATTATACATGGTGAGAACCTAGTAAGTTGTTAGAACTTGTGTTCAAACCATTTGTATAGTATTTATACAATTAAATATGTTCAAACCAATGAAGGATAAATGAACCCTTTTCTAAAAACAATATATCATTCAATGTATTCAAACACGCACATGAAGCAACAGGGTGGGGGCCACTTTTTTCCCAATATTATCGTTACTATTGAAAAATGTCCATTAAAAGGTAGGTTGCCCCCCCCCTCCCCCACTTCTTACCACATTATAGTTATATGAAGGAACATGTACTATTGTATGGAAAAAAATGAAAGTGAATGAAAGTTGAACCATGAAATATGATTTTCGAGTTTGAGCAGGTTTTTTTTTTTTGCTTGTCAACTTTTACAGGTAAGTGAAAATTTTATTTTTTCTCTGGTTGCCCCCCCCCCCACTTTAAAAACGATGTTACGTGCCTGGTATTACATGTTCATTCTATTCTTTGTGTTATATATCCTTAAATTCTATTCTTTGTGATATATATCCTTAAACATAAGTTGTCAATATTTATGTCTCTCTTTTTTGAATTTGGAGTGGCATGTGTGAAGCTGTATCAAATCTTAAATACAAAGTTTCGATAAAAATAATCAAATATATTATACATGTATACAACTTTAGGTTGATATTCAAATAATTGTATTGAATTACAAGGAATTTGCTTGTTCGCTTCTGTATTTTCATTTAAAAAACGGTTCTTTTAAAGGATTTGAATATCACTTTATTTATCTCTTTGTCTGTAACTCTTTCTCCCAGCTGTCTTACTGTCTGTTTCTTAAACTTCGGGGCTTAAAGAAGTTACCTTAACTAGCTATAGAAAACACAGTAAAATTTCAATTCTTACCATTTATATAGCACAAGGGCATATATAAATATTTTGGCAATAGATATCTCATTGGAAAGATGGATGTGTATTTCTATTAGATATTACAAGCCGTTTCTAAATTTTATATCATTAAAGGTTGCAATTGTGTATCATTAGTCGTCGACTATGTCGATATTTGCTTCTTTCATTAAGCGTCAGTGTTGCACTGCATTTGTGACGCTTAATGATATAATTTTATCATTAAGTGGCGATTTAGCATTAGCGGTTGAGAATGTCAGCTATGAATGCAATAAATCATGGTATTAAGCGTTGCAATTGTAACGCTTAATGCTATTTGTATCATTCAGCGGCGTTTTATCATTAGAGGTTGCTACAATGCCAATATTATCATCAGCTGTATATCTGTACATGTAGCTCTCTGGTAAGAAAAATAAAATAATTGACTACTAGAGAGCTACAGTACCACCCATTTAATAAGACGTTTAATTAATGGTCACAAAAAGGCTTGCTGTTTTTGCCCTGGGTCGAAAGATCTCGGGGATTATATTGTTTTTGTCTCTCTGTCTGTCTGTTGTCAACTTTGATTTAGCCCATAACTATTGATTGAGTGTTGCTAGGGTTTTACCTTTCTTTGGATACCACCAAGTTTAACCTTGGGGTTTGACCTTTCTTTTCAAAAATACAACACTTTAACCTTGGCCTAAAATTGTTGAACATTTTGAGCTAGGGCTCTCATCCTTCGTAAGTGTATTCAGTGTGATAATATTTTTTCAGTTGATTTAAATATATCTTTTGACTCAGTCCCAAAAGTTTGATTCACTTTTAAAAGTAAATGAAACTTTAGGTCAAGGTAAAAAAAAACTTATAGTGTTTAGAAATATCTTGCCACTGGCAATATACACATGTAATATTAGAGCCCTATCTCTTCTATTTCAAAAGATATGAACAAGGTTAAAGTTTTTGTGACAGACGGACAGAACTACAGATTGACAGACGGACAGAGGAAAGCCTGGGATAAAATCAGGTCATCTAATGAAAAGGTACTAGAATAAATTACCCAAGTTTCTTCTAGTACTCTATGTACCCGGTACATGTACATGTATCACTCACTCCCACGCTTTCTTCCTAGGACAATGCGTGTTACATAAAAGAAATTAAGATATAGAACATGTTATATCCATGGATGGATACGGGATTTGAATTGAGGGTGTGCTTATTGCGTTCCAGAAGGGGGTCAGGGGGCAATCTTTAGTCTCCCAGGTAGGTCGAGGGAACAAAGCCCCCGGAAAATCCTGGCTTTTCATGTAAAGCAATGCACAAACATAGTGACATTAGTTAGTTATGTATCAAAGTATGACATAAATAATATAAGTCATAGCCTACTTTCAAAATTTCTAAGAGGGGGAGGGGAGGGGGGTCACAAGTGTATTGTACTTTTATATCCGCTTGTAATATCAATCACCTTTCAAGTCGAATGAGCGGAATTCAAAATCACAGGTATAACGAAATCAGAATCTAAAATACTACAGCTATATTATAAAAATAACTTATCTTGATATGATTTTGATTGGCTAGGGTATACTCAAAAGTTCATAGTTTATATGTTAGCATGAAAGAGTTCTAATGAATCAGCAAAATGAAATAATTAAAATCCAGAGATTTTACAAATCTTATATATTTGATGCAGGCCTATTTGTTAATCAATAATTGGAGATAGTAAATGAATAATGACTTTGATATCAACACAAGAGACTTTTTGTGATTCCAATTTGATTTTGCTAGATAACAGATGCTGAGTGAAACATATATGTCTAAACGTTTGCGCCGTTCTCCTTATCCCAAACATGAAAACACCGTAAAAGGTCTGGTCAGATTTAATTACTATAATATTTTATTATTATGTTTCACTTTCTTCATGAGAAAAAATCACTCAGTTTCGTTGTTCAAAACAAAATAAATTTGCAATAAGATAAGTTTTAATATATATTTCTAATTCCAACACAGCTGTGCATGTGTTAAAATTCTACATGGGGAGGGAGGGGGGAGGGGGACTCGACTACCACATACAGCTATGAATTCGTTTATGTGTACGAAACGTACTGATGGATACTCAGGGTTTAGATATTCAGTATATATTTTATAGGCAATCGCTTATTTAAGCAAGGTGTCGTAAAGATAAAAGTTTTGATCTGGTGTCCCTACTACATCTCAAAGCAATCCCACACAACGTTACACGTGTATTAGAGATTTGTCATTGTAAAAAAAAAAACTTTAACCTTTGCCATAACTTTTAAAATGTAAGGACTAGGGCTTTTGTACTTCAAATATGTAATCCTTGTGACAAGACCTTTCTAATGAAACCAACAATTGACCCTTTGACTTTGAAGTTTGACCAACGTTTCAAATATATCTTAGCTTGGACCATGCATGTAACGATTGAATAGGTTTTGATCAGGTTGTAGTAGGACTTTTATACTCAGCTATGTTAAGGACCGATATGGAAAATGTTACCTTTGCACCGTTTTAATATGTATTACTTCTTTTAAAAAATTGTAACAAAGCAACTGAATACATGTATTTGTAGAAAATGTAACATAGCTATAAATAATGGATACGATTGGGCCGTAGTTATAACCAGTTATATCGCTTGTATCAGCTGTTTGTCACGTAACTTGTATAAAAATAGAATTGTTAAGCTGGATGTAGGAAATGATGATAGTGGAAGGGCATACGCCTGTTTTTCATGAAAAAAAAATGATACACATTAAAAGATGTTTATTTTCTCTACCCAAAAAGTGCTCGGAGCTAGTCTGTGCTGTCTGCAAAATACTGAAAATTTTGCTCAAAATGTTTATAATAGCTTAAAATTTCAACTTCGCTTAAATTCTGTTATAAATAGAAATAATCTTATGCAGACCAAGATCAGCTCCCAGCACTTTTCAAAATATACACTTTATCAGCGATTAATCTTTCAAGTTTCAGCTCAAATAAATTAGTCTATGCCCTTGCACTTTTTATGTTAATCACAAATACGCTTATCGTTTTAGCATAATCTCTAAAATTCCTTGTCCCTGTGCAGCTCCAATGCTGCCAGATTATTTCAAAATCATTACACATTGTATTTAATAAATTATTGTCTTTAAGTTTTAATGATAAGGTTTTTAAAAAAGCAATGGTATCATATTTATTTGAGCATTCTTGTAATTATTAAACCAGTGAATCTAGTCCTCGGGGTTACCTGTGCTGCGCCATGTCAAGGCTGATGACGTCATATATGACGAAAGACTTTCTTCATTTACTCAACTGTATTTCTATCAAGTATTGTAATTTTACAAGATTTTAAAATAATTAATAAGATAAATAAAATCAAGTTGTTATTTACGCATGATCATGTCGTTAATTGATTTTTAAGGCTTGCTAAATTTGAATGACGTCACAATTAAGCTTCAAATACTATGTACAAGGAATGTGAATTCTGACCTTCCTTAACATAGCTGAGTATTTCACAATAGTATTACTTGTGAAAAGACTCTACTTTGGGTAATAATATATTTAATTTGCATTCAATAAAACTTTAATCTTCGCTCTGTTGCCGTACAGGGTCATCAGTGTTAAACAAACTTTTTTTTTCTTTTGATAGAGAAGAGATTGGGCATTCAAATTGACATGTGCTAGACCTTGACATTCAGAATTGACCTTATTATTTAAAAAAAAAATAACTTCGGTGATAATTTTTAAATGGCATGTGATAGGGCGTTCATATCTGACACAACATGCCATAAAAAATGGCATGTCACAAACAAAGACCCCAAATGCGGGGGACTACAATTCTTTGAATTTGCTTATTTACATGTAGTATTCAAACGACATTCGCTCAATTTTATAGGTTACTATTGAAGCTGGTCTTTGAATCACAATGAACTAATACCGGTTTACTATTGACGTGAGTCTGTCTGGTATAATGTAATCATTCTCCCTGACCTCGATCTACTTTAATATTAAGATCAGCATTTGTTTTCATTTGCAAAAGTCCTCCAGATTCTACTTAAATATAAAAGTATGATTTTGTATTTTAAATAGTATCCCTCATTTTAAGACATAAAATATGTAAATATATCCCAATATCTTACATTGTCAAGAAAAAAAAAATACTTGAACTGTTTGCTTTATTAACTCACCGATATCTTCAGAATCACTACTGCCATCCTCATCGGTATCACTACGGACCGCTTCTCCTTCTTCTTCATTGCCTAAACCATATTCTGGTTTACTTTTGACATCAGTATTTTGGACAGCAGGCTTTCTCTTCTCTATTTCAGTATTTATATCCGTCTCGTTAACATCAGGGATGTTCTTCTTAGGTTCTGGTTTGACATGGATCTCAGCGATACATTTGTCTCTCTCCGTTGGCTTAATATTTGCTACAACATCTGTAAAACCCAATGTTTCATTACGGAGATGAATATCGGGCAAATCATATGTTTTTCTTTTGTTCAGGCTTGACATATATTTCTTGTACATCCATCCTATCTTAATATATAAAGCAAAAACTCTTTCAGAATACTTTAATTGATATTTCTTAAGTACGCTGCAACTATTCTAAATATGTGAACTGTTTTCCTTATTCACTTACATGTAAAGTTTATCTTTGTAGACTTTCAATTTGATTTTATTGATATTGATTGTTGGGTACCCAACTATTATCCTCATCTTCTCTTATAAAACTGAATAAAATTCATGAAGCTTTCATAGAGTCTTTGTTACATAGAGCAATTATAACCTCCTATTTTTACTGTTTGATCTGATCATTTTTGTTTTCCAGAGCAGAAAAACTAAAGTCTCTGTTGTAGTTAGATATGCTAATAATAAATTGTGTAAATAATTATTTGATATTTTTACAGGATCAATATACAGCCTGCCTTTTTCATAATGAATACATGTACATTGAAGAACAGACACCATTACCCCAATTTTGTTCTTTTAATTTCTAATTGTTAACTTAAGGCAGTTAAGGACAAGTTTAATATTTAGTTCATTTAGTTCACATTGCAATTCAAGGAAATACCAAGTATTAATGGGAAAACGTAAAGAGAGAAATAAAATTAACATATGCTCAACATATGAACATAAACGTATGCTGATCATATAATCATACAAAACAGATGAATAGCATATGTTAAAAGCATATGTTTAGAAACATATGTTAACCATATGTTGCTCGTTTTTTTTTATGGCGAACATATGTTTCGGAACATATGTTAAACGAATGTTCATCATATGTTGAACATACGTTGCAATTTTACCTGTGTAACTAACATTAAATATTTTGTTTTATCACATACTTTATAAAAAAAAATGAATACAGGATTTTTGCATATGCGATATGGCTGACGTCACAATAGCCGTATCAGCTCTGCAGGGCTGATATGGATTTGCGGGGCTGATATAAGTTATCGGCCCTGCAGGGCTGCTAGGGATCAGTATCACACCCTAGAAAATTAAACCTAAAAAAACAGTACTTGTGATCATACACATATTTTGGGGGTTAAATAATTCTCTGACTTTTTTTACTTTTTGCATGTAATGATAATCTAACTGATAAATAATAGATTTTTTAAAAATTACGAATTGGGGAGATTTGAAATAGAAGTACATGCAGAAACAAACCGAAACTGTATGAGACATTAGACTGTGTATGTTTTAAGAAGTCTATGCATGATAATTTACTTATTTTCTTCTCAAATTAATGTGTTCTGTAATTTATTACTATGTATATAATAAATATAATAAAACATACCCTTTTCCATATCACATCCTGTATCAGCCTTCGGCCCTCTGGCTGATATTGGTGTCTCGGGCTGATACAGGATGTGATATGGAAAAGGGTATGTATTATTCTCTGTATATCTCAAGTTTTGTTGAACAGAATATTAGTATTTTTTATGTTTAACACATACATGCTTCTTTGGATTTTGTGCATCAAAATCTCAGAAAAATGAATAATACTGACCTGCCCTGTTCCAGCTAGAGTTTAGAATATCTATGACGTCAGAATGGTCTGCGTAATATAGAGCATTGCAAATACTCTGTCTTGTTAGTGATGACCTATCTTTTTGGATTTTTGATAAAGCTCTCAGTATTTTTTCTTGAGTAGTTCTATTATCTCTCTCAATCTGATCTATACCAGTCTGTTTCAAACCAAGAAAGTGCAAGACGTGTTGAGATCTAGAGGCTAAATGTTTACTCATTATGATAAAGTCAGAAGACTGAGCTTGTTCTGTTGGATTGACTAAAACTTCTTTATAGAAATAGCTGTCTTTAGAGAACATTTCCATTCTCTCAATTAAATCTTGTCTCTCCATGGAGGAGAAAACTTCCTTCAATTTAGCTTTGTGGTCTATGCGCGTATATTTACATCGCCACACATGGAAAAGCTTGCAATAGGTTTCGGAGGGGGTCCTGTCCAAATAGGTCGTCTCTGCCAACTGAGGCTCACCAAGATATGTGGAAACAATGGCAAGGTCCGCGAAAGAAAGTTGTCTGGACACAAAGTCCAAAAGGAGCTCCAAATCTGAAAACAAAGAGCAATATATGATAAGCGTCTCATTTGGCCCCTTAAAATGAATATCTTAATTTTACTTTATACATGTACATAGCTTTAATTTGTACAGCTTTATATGCGACCTTTATTGGTCATTTTCATTTTGATCAAAATGCCGTTATTATAAAAATATGACATCATAAAAATCACGTTTGCCCGCCATTTTAGCATATTTTGTATAAAACTGCTTATTTACAAGCAGTTTTTTCTCCCAGAAAATATAGAGCGCAGCCTAAAACAACCTTTATATTTTTACCAAAGATGTATCTAACCAATACTAATTAGTGACAGAAAAATTATGTATGTTATACACTGCGCTCTTTGTATCCCATAAGAAAAAAAAAACATCAAAAAAGGTATATTTTTGGCTTTTTTGTTAGATAGCAAAAATAGCATTATTTCTCAAGTCATTTACAGGTAGTGAATGCATATAAATCTGAAGACTATATTGGATTTATTTCTAATATAATCTCTTCTACAAAATAAATATCAATTAAACATATCTGAATGTCATTCTAAAATGATGATTTTTAGGGGGACAAAATTGGCTCTTATCATATATAACTCCTTTTCGAAATGAAATTCAATGACTAACATTATTATAGTTTTATTTGCTCTATTATTTCTTTTTTTCTATTTACAAAAAAATGTTATCATTAATTAACTAAGTAAACAAAAACCCGCGAATTCATACCCCACTCCCACCCTCAACCCCCAATGCATCATTTTTCTATGATGCTATATTTAGTCATTAGAAATTATTCCAAACTCCAGGATATTCAAATAAATCAGCTGCGTCGTGTTTGTTTTAAGAAATAAGTCTTCTTAATTAAACTGTTGGCGAAATCTTTTTTCATAATTTTCTTAATATTATTTGAAATATGACTTTTTAAACTGAATTTGATGAACTATCAAATACTAATAATGATAAAAAAAAGATATAAAACAAAACAAAAATGTAGAGATGCAAAGATTTGTATTCAATTCAATTTTCTTTCAAATCTACCATGATTTAAAATTGCAATGCGAGTATGATGAATCAAATACGTAGAGATTTCAATCAAAATTTAAATAGAAAATATCTGTCATTATGGAATATAAATATCACTGTAAGGATGAAAATAAAATCAACTTATATTATTTTTTGTTGAAACACTTTTATATATATAAATCACGTGGGTAAATGTATTATCTTTTAATCAAGAGTTTCACAAAGTAACTATTCATTCTTACAGAGTTTTTTTCTTGTATTTGTTGTGCGTAATGGTCCAGATTTACTGAGGTAAGGTTTTGTATTTATAATTTGATTCCAGTTATTACATTTTCTAGGCAAGAACACACAGTGACCACATTTTTCATCGGTTTTAGCATGTGTGTTTCGGTTAATCAGATTTCTATGTATACGCAGCACAGTTAAGGTTAAAGTAAGGAGGCGGGGCCTTATTTGTACGGGAAATGTTTACTATGACGTCACAGATGTTCCCCAAACGCTCCCCAACTCCATTTTGGTGCCATATTCCCTATAAGTTTCATTAAATAAGACAAACTCTATGCATTTGAGACTTTAACAACGTTTACCCAGAAGTGTACCAATTTCATTCAAATTTTAGCATTTTAATTCCACTTGTTTCATGTGCGTGCGTGCGTGCATGTCCATGATGGCCATACCTTCTTGTAGGAGTCCTAATATCTATCTATGTTCTAAATCCCATGTTTGGTTGAAAAACAAGGGAGTTATAGCCATTAATTTTCAGCCAATCAGAGTGCAGCACACGTGCATGTGCGTGATTTCATGATTTTTTTTCTATATCATATTGTAAGATATCCTTATGCATTTCTATGTTTTAAATTTCAAAGCATTTCGTCAAAAAACAAAGGAGATATAGCCATTTAAAGTTTCAGCCAACCAGATTGCAGCACTTGCACATGCGCATCCTTTCATGACAATTTTGATATATCATGCAGTAGATCTTCATAATGTAGGACTATGTTCAAAATTTCAAAGGATTATGACTTAAAACAAGAAAGATATTGAGACTTTAGTTTCAGCCAATCAGAGCGAAGCGCACGTGCATGCGCGTGAGATCTTGCTATTTTGACCATGCCGTCTTGTTTATACTACTAATGTATCCTTACATTATGAGTTTCAAAAAAATTCATCAAGAAATAGAAATGTTACGGCTTCATCAATTATATTGGTTATTTCACATGTTGCACGTGCGCGCTCTTTCCAGCACACGTGCATGTACGTGTTTTCATGAAAAGTCTTATATATCATGCTGTAGATCTTCATAATATGTGACTAAGTTTATGACTTAAAACAAGAAAGATATTGAGACTTTAGTTTCAGCCAATCAGAGCGAAGCGCACGTGCATGCGCGTGAGATCTTGCTATTCTGACCATGTCATCTTGTCTATACTACTAATATATCCTTACATTATGAGTTTTAAGACTTTTCATAAAAAAATAGAAAAGTTACGGCAATATCCATTATATTGATCATTTCAAGTGCTGCACGTGCGCGCTCTTGCAAGCAAAATGACCTTTGTTCGGCAACTCTACCTAACATGCCTACTAACCCTAAAAAGGTTTCACCTAAGTCAGATGTGTTGTTTACAAGATCACCAGTGGACAAGATTTTCCCAGGAAGAAGAAAAATAATAAGAACTAGAGCAAAGCTCGTTGCAAAGCAACGAGTAGGTCTTCCGTCCTGTTCGACTGGAAGTAGCTTTCATTTTTAACAAAAATGAGAAATAACGCCAAAAAATGGGTTGAATCATCTAAAACTATGTTAATTAATGCAAAAATAAGCCATTTTTGCTACTTCCGGTTTGACCGGAAGTGACGACGACGGACGGAAAATTAATTTTTATGCTCCCAGAGACATATGTTACCCATAAACTTCCCAAGCTCGGCAAAAATACGCTTTTTCCGACCACTTCCGGTTTTGCCGGAAGTGACGACGCCGGACGTATTTTGAAGACGCCAAAAGATTAAGCTTAACATTTTGGACAACTTTGCTTCTTTGATGTATTACAAATTCTCGATACGTTTTGAGATATAAAGAAAAAACTTTTGGCCCCTCTAGGCCCTTAATTTTAGGGGCCAGCCCTTTTTACAAGATATCATTTGAAAGATCTTGGAATTCTACACTTCTTTTGTTCTATATGTTTTAACAAAATATTTCCAGGTAAAAAGATATCGTAGAAAAGGTGTTAAAAATTTTGAAATTCGCGATAGGTCTATTTTCGGGCTATAGCGAGCGTCGGCGCTTCGTACTTCCGGTAGTTGTGATATACAAAAGGCACTTCTCCAAAGTTTGCTCTAGCATCCCTCAAAAATTCACACTTCTATCTTCAATGGTTTTTGAGAACATTGCCGGACAACGTGACCCTCTAAAAATGACAAAATCGCAGAAATCTCCGAACCGGAAGTGAGGTCATCAAAACAAAAAAATATATATCTAGATTTTTTGATGTTCTATCATTCCTGAAAGTTTCATGAAAATCGATCAAGGCGTTTTCGAGAACTCGCGTGCACAAAATATGTAAGAAAAAAAATAATAAAAACTGTGGAAAAGAAACCTTAGAATAACAGAAAGGTCTTCCGCTGAAGACGGAAGACCTTAACTAGATGCGTTTTTGTTGCTGGTGCAACAAGCAGGTCTTCCGACCGATTTTCGCTAGAATTCTATGCTGCGTCATTCCATGAAATTTCAGAATGTTTTTTTTTTTTTCGTTTACGTTCATTTACAGCAGCCTCTTAACTTATCTCATAATTATTACAGGTATTCCTCAAAATATCTCAAAAATAGCTTTTAAAAATCGGCAAAATCTTCCGTACATGTTAAAAAAGAGAGAAAAGTTATTTGCACCTGAAAAAAGACAGAAACAAAGAAAAAAAAAATTCAACGCCCACAGCGGGATTCGAACCCTCGACAGTGGGACAAAGTTTGGTTTGGTCATATCTTTTCAAAAGATGCACGCATCAAGATACTAAATACATATTTAGAATTCTCATAATACACACTATAATCCCTGTAAATACTAAAGAAAAATATTGAAAAACAAAAAAGTTGAGAAATGTGACTTTTTGAATTCACTTCCGTGTGCGACCGGAAGTGCCGACGACGAAAAATAGAGGCCGTTGCCCAGAATGGAATTGGACGTTCTATCACCTCAGTGAGTTTTACTTTCATATCTTTAGCTGTTCTCGAGAAAACTGCTGGACAAAATGCCTTTTATAAAATACAAAAATCCCCCAAAATCGCGAACGGAAGTGAATTTCGAAAAAAAGAAAAACACGTCTGGAGATATTCTCATGATGCATCTTCCCTGAGAAAATCTTTGAAATCATATCGGCTGTACTATGAAAAATAGAATAATAATAATAATAATAATAACTAGAGCAAAGCTCGTTGCAAAGCAACGAGTAGGTCTTCCGTCCTGTTTTGACCGGAAGTGCCGGATGTGACGTCAACAAAAGAAAGCAATGAGCTAAGTCCTCTCCAGTAACGTTATAATTTCAATTTTTCGTTAAAAACCTTCAAAATAATCTATTTTATTAAACCGGAAGTGACGTCAACGGACGGAAAATTAAGTTTTAGGCTTCCAGTGACATATGTTACCCAATAACTTGTCAAGAATGGCAAAAATAAGCGTTTTCCGACTACTTCCGGTTTGGCCGGAAGTGACGTCGCCGGACGTATTTTGACGACCCCAGTAGATTAAGCTTGACATTTTAAACAACTTTGCTTCTTAAACGTCTTACAAATTCTCAATACTTTTTGAGATATAAAAGAAAAACTTTTGGCCCCTCTAGGCCCTTTAATTTAGGGTCCAGCCCTTTTTTCGAGATATCATTTGAAAGATCTTGAAATTCTACACTTCTTTTGCTCTATATGTTCTAACAAAATATTTCCAGGTAAAAAGATATCGTACAAAACATGTTAAAAATTTTGAAATTTGCGATGTGACATTTTTCGGGCCATAGCTGGCGCCGACGTGCGGCACTTCCGATAAAAATGAAATACCTTACGCATATCTATAGACTTAGGTCTATCATACCTAAAAGTTTCATGTTTCTATCTAGAGCCATTTGTTAAAAACTTTGCCGACAACCTGACCCTTCAAAAATCGTAAAATCGACAATATCTCGATTGTCCATTGTTAATAGTCCTTGTAGAAACTGCACGGGGCTTCCAACCAGTACCTTGAGTGAGTCTGCCCTTCTATCGTGATGAGTTGTAGAGGGATGACCTTTAAACCCGAAGGCCTAAAGCCGCTGGAGCGGAAGGCAGAAGGACAAAAATCTATTAGGACAGGCACCAACGGATCTTTATATTGTACATTTATTGTAATTAAATAAGTAATTTATCTGATAAATCTTTTTGGTAATATTTAAACGTGATAAAGTTGACAGGAAGGCGTAAGAATAATTCATTTTTTTGTTAGATACGTTTGCTAAAGAGCAATACATGTATAAGCTTTTATACCAAGTGATCTCATGGCATGTAAAGCGTTATGTTATGTAATATATATAAGTATGTAGTCAGCTCATAATAGAATTTACAACTTACATAAACATTTTTGTTGGGTGGAAAATTTGATGAACAGATGAAAAATACGAATAGAAAAAAATCAAAATTTCATGATTTCTAGCAAAGAATTGGCTTGCTGTATATATAAGGATTGGAAAAAGATCAGTGTCAATGTAACTAGTCTCACCCTTTTCTTTGTCTTTCTCTTCTTCTTGTACAGGGATGACATTCATCTCTGTTGAGTTCACTAAATTCAGAAAATGAATATATTTTTCCTATTCATGTTATAAATATTTCTTTTATCATTTTCACACACAAATTAATCTAATACTTTTTTAAAGCATCTAAGCTGAGACAACGTGTGTTAAAAACTTGATGCTTTCACATGCATTAGCTTGTAATAATTTTATGTCACTCATGCAATCATTGCAATTGATTTTGTATAAGATTTCTTTCCACTTCTTTCATACTGTAGTATTTTTTTTTTATATATATCTAATGACAATTTATTAACCATGAATATATTTTACTCATCAACGAAATCACAATCTGATTTTTTAAAAAGAATTATGTTTCTTTTTTAAACATTATCTCCTTCAAGCCTTTTAAACATTACATCGTTTCAAGCCTTCTAAACATTATCTCGTATCAATCCTTTTATTGCATTATGATGAGCACGGCTGTGTTTGTAGATTTATCTAAATAAATGTTCATATAAATTTTTTAGGTATAATAATAATTGTTTTATAGTAAAGAAAGTGTACTTGAAAAACTTTTTTTATAAAGGAGTTTGTAGTAGACTTCTTTATTAATCAGAGATTTCAATTTTCCCCTGCAAAACCACAGGACTTTGCGTACGTATCAATTTTACCGAAATTTTAAGTATATTAAAAAAAAAAGAAACGACATTTTATTGTTGTTGATTTTTTTGGTGGGGCAATAAGAAAGCAATAGAGTTTCAGAAAGGTGTAAATCATTTTGCAAAGTAATATGATTTCAGGGTAGCTGTGGAAACTAATGAGGCCCAGAATTGTATTTTTAAATATTTTCTCCATAGTAATTTAAAAAAAAAAACCTAGTATGCAGTAGAGTCTAGGCCACAGGAAGGTGGCAGGACCAAATTTATAATGAATATGATTGCTATAGTGTCACACAAAATTAATCGGTGCCCAAAATACCAAAAAAGAAAAATATTTCCTTATTTATTTCAATCTGCTGCAAAGGTTAAGATTACGTAAATTCTTACAATAACATGCCGTTTTGTCATTTGTTAAATCCCATACAACAAAAAACGACATATTGACCGCAATACACTTGTCAATGTGAGGTTATCTTTAAAAACTGTTGACGCAGTTTGTAAATAGTGAGACCAAGCCACATTTACAATAATGATTGATTGATTGTATATTGTTTAACGTCCCTCTCGAGAATTTTTCATCCATATGATGACGTCACCGAATGCCAGTGAAGGGGTTTAAATTTTGACCTTTACTCGGCACTCAGGGCCATTGAGCAGTGAGGGATCTTTATCGTGCCAACGCCTGTAGCTGACATGGGGCCTCGGGTTTTTTAAGGCTCATTCGAAGGACCCGCAACTTTCACTTCAAAGATGTCATGGGTACCAAGTTTATATAAGAAAACAAGTTTTAACTTTTTCTGTGCAATACTTTGAACCACTATGCGTTTAAATTAGTCAATTGCATTGATATTTCTATACGTTGCCTTAACTCACTAGCGAAGATCTATCATAATCAGAAAAAAACTAATATCAAACAATATTTGAGTGTCTTTAAAGTTTTAAGCTAAAGCACTTAATTTTGTTCTTAATATATAGGACATGTTATCTTGCTCAAAAGTCACGTTTTAATTGAATGCAAACAAATGAGAAGAAAGGATCAACGCATTTGAAAAATTGTTATAATTTGAAGACCTGGATCATTTTCAAAAAGTATGCGTCTTGCAAAAAAAACGAGGTAATTGACGATGTTTGTTCACATAATGCGTTATTAATTAAGATGAACTTGTTTGATACTAATTGATAATCAATTTAAAACTGCTAAAAAATAACAACAGTTCTCATTGTAGCCTAAAGGCCCTGATTTGAATGGCATTCATAGTCGACATCTCATCCAAAGGATATTGAAAAGCAAGGCCAGGCTTTATTGTTTTGTTTTTTTCTACCTCTGTGAAATTTTACGCTTCTGAATTTTACGCATTCATAAACTCGTAAAAAGTAGTACAAATAGTACAAATTAGTAGCACGAAAACATATCTGTTATACGGTATTTATATAACGAAATTTACAAATATTTCTCTAATTTTTTCAATATTTAAATATTGCAATTCCTTTTGAGCGAAGAATGCTTTAAATACCATAATCACTATTGATTACCGTAAAATCGCACTTATATTTAACCCGGAATTCCATTGAAGATATGCAAATTTAAACAGGAGATACATGTAAGGCCGCTTTTGACTTCAAATATATTTAAATAGACTCATAAAAAATAAGATTCTCAACAGGGGTCATTGTTCTAATATCACAAACAACGAATTCCTGAACTGGACTGATGAACATCATTGTATATATATATAAATGTTGGAGCGACATGAACTTTCAAGACCAAACAATCCAAGGTCATACTAGACATTAGAGTTGTGTGTGTATGTATATAAATGTATTTGTTATGATAACAAATATTGGTTAAATTGCGAACGTCATCGAAAAATTGTCAAGAACAAAGATTCTTCGCATAAAGTCAGCAACACGGCAAAATTTAAAATGATGTTGTAGTCTTGTATAGAGTCTGTCATCTGTTTGGTTTTGCCTTTCCAGCTGTTCAATTGTCCCTAAACAATTTTAAAATTAATCTCCATTTTACAGTTTAAATCCTATCTTTATTCATACTGATATATTTACATCCACTGAATATTTTCTTCTTTATTTATTACGAAAACCCATTGCGTTCATCCCTGCATAAACTACATTAGGCATATCACCTGTACAGATTTCTTGATCAGTGGCCGTTCCATCAATGAAACGTACAAAGACGTTCGCATCATTAACACAATAAGAAATATCTTATCTTCAATCCTACTTAAAATGATAATTTAAACAGATATAAATATAAACAATAAAATGTCTTTAAATATAAACAATAAAGTGTCGCAGCTATTGCAGAAAAAATTTACTTAACCCGCTTACGCGGGTTATGTATTTTTTCTGCAACAGCTGCTTCCGTTCATTCCAGTAACAGCAAACAATGAAAGCATTTTATTGTTTAAATACCTGCTGAATATATTCTTTATTTCTTTTAGTTTTTTATTTTAATAAACAGTGTTCTCATGGTTACGAAAAAAAGAATTTTGAGAGGACTAGCTTGTTCTACTTCGGATTGATGATATTTAAACAAACCATTACATTTTTATTGCAATATTCAAAACTTTATTATGCTTTTTAAAAAAAGTTATACAAATCTAAAAAAAAAAAATCTAACATTTCTAATGTTTTGCTGAAGGGCATGCATATGATGTTGGACCGATCAATGAGATGTAAGACCACTTATCACAGAATAGGTGAAGCTTAATCGCATAAAATCATTTGTTGGTGTTCAAAGGAAACAATCCTGAAATTACATTACGGCAGATGATTAAAAAAATATGTCAAACGAATTATAATGAAAGATATAACAAAACATTTATTGACTATGTTTTCTGGCAAAACACTTTTTGTCGACACTCGAAGTAAACTGTCTGCTTTCAGTCTAAAGGCATCAGACAGACTATTTGGTTCTTAATCCGACAAAACCAAGGTTGCCTTTGAACTCAATATATATATATATATATATATATATATATATATATATATATATATATATATATATATATATATGTATAATATTACACATTAAACTTTCACTATTGTTTTTAATTACGTAGCTCATCACTCGACCCATCATGATTTAGAAACCATCAAGTTTTTTTTTCTTTTTACAGATGTATCTTTAATCCTATTTCTGTTCTGTGGTTAGTTATTTAAGGAATGAATCTAAATTTTGGCCAAATTATTCGATATTACAGTACCAGGTTTGGGTCAGTTTACGCCTTTTTATAATCCGTGAAGCGAAACTTCAAGATTTAGAGTTATTCCTTATAATTTAATTTTAAAATAATTAAATAGATATGGAGGTAAAACTGTGTTGCTTTTTATGAGTTTAAATATGCCGCTAAACAATAATAAAATTCTGATAATGGAAGTGATAGGAGTTGACAATAATCATTTGTGGGCAAGATTGACAGAGAACCTTTGCATTAACCACTCTCGGCGATTACATATTTATTGGCAGTATACAAGGAAGAAACCTATTAATTTTCAAGTTCAGTGATGAAATATTTTTCAGATATCGCATTTTCACTGTCTCGAAACCCTGACATTTTATGTACAAGTTGACAATAATCGTTTCCGCTAGGGAATCAGTTTAAAAGCCGTGTCGAGTCAGTGGGAACCAGATTAAAGGAATTTGATGAACGTCGTGGGTACATTACCAAATTCCAACAGGTGTCTGAGAATTTGGGGTGCACGTTAAATTGAAAGTGTGTTCGGGGGGGGGGGGGGGGGGGTAAACCAACAAAAAAAGGTGAACCCCCATTTTCAATGCATATAACATTTCTATATTTGCAAAATGTGCCCCCCCCCCGCCTATGTCACAAGTTTAAATAAACTATCGATGTACATTGTTATTTTTTCTTACGAAAAAAATGCATATTGCCTGGAACTGTGAAATATCCTAGTTAGGTAGGTAAATAATTAAAATTACTTTAACTTGTACATGTAGCATACGTGATATGTTTCTAATAGGTATAAGGGAAACTGCCCAATTACGTATGCATATTATGTCCCCCACCCCACCCAACTTACATCATAATGTCATGCAATTTGAATTTTGTTAAAAATAGACACCCCCACCCCACTGTCATATATGAATCATTTGTTGTACGACTTGATTATTACTTTTGTATCTTCGTAAAAAAAGAGTTCCGATTAATATGGCGTCTTAGTATCATACGTATACAACACCCACTAATTAACATGCTATGCAATTTGATTTCTGTAGGAAAAAAGACACCCCACCCCCTATAATTTTGTTAAAGAAATAAAAAGAGCTGAAAAACAATTTAATACCTTATGTTAAACTTTACTACCCAAAATTAGGTATTATATTATAATATTATTCCCCCCCCCTTAAACAGGACGTTTTGCATTTTGTAAAAAAAAAAATATGACCGTGTAAACCAAGGGCCAATGTCGGAATAGATGCTGGTACAAAAAGATCCCTCACTGCTCAATGGCCATCAGTGCCTTTTATAGGAAAAAAATGTGCAGCTTTTCACGGGCAAGCCTTCATATGAGCAAAATACTCATGAGAGGGACATTAAAGAATATTACGTTGTACTATCAATCTTTAACATGTTTAACGTCCCTCTAGAGAATTTATCTCTCAGGAGATATTGCCATTATTAGTGATGTTCCTGCCTCGATGGGACGCTCCGCTTAGTGGTGCCCTTGTTCTTTTTTGCAAAGTGTGTAAAAAACAATATCAGAGAGAGAGAGAGAGAGAGAGAGAGAGAGAGAGAGAGAGAGAGAGAGAGAGAGAGAGAAAGTCATGAAACCCCGTGTAACTGACAAACATGTACATCTGTGAAAAAATATATGTACCGTAATTATCTTGAATTCACAATTAATAATTCTAATAATTTTTAATTTCCACAAATTTGGTTCATATTCAGCTGTTCAACCCATTTACACATTCATTCTCTGTACACGTTGTACGCACGAAACCCTCGTGCATCACCTCAGTGTCAGTCAAATTCGCATGAAAGTTGATTTGAAACATTCTAATGCCAACATGGCCAGTTCTGAGTTCAAGTGTGTAACACACTCAACTGACATCCAGCGAAATACATCTTCCCGGTTTCACTACAACGCTTATTAAAAACTAACACGTATTTTGTAAACTATCCTTTTTAAGACATAAATAAGATGTATCTCGCAGATTATACATGTAAGATTTTCAAAAAAAAAATACAACAACAGCTAACAGGCACTTAGCAACAGGGAGGGGTGTGTGTCAGGGGGCCTAGGGGACCCCCACTTTTTTCAACATTACTTTTTATATTGAAAATGTTCGTTGAAAGACAGGTTGCTGGCACCACACACCCCTCCCCCCCAACCCCCTACTCCCGACAAACACAGTTTATACTACGGTAAAGTTGTATAATGGAAATGTAGTATTGTATGTCAAGGAATTGGTACTGAAATAAGTAACTTTTTCGACTTTAGGCAAGGTTAATCTTTGCTTGTCAATTTTTCCAGGTAAGAAAAAAATGTTTCTTTGATTGCCCCCCCCCTACACTTTTAAAGACGGTGCTACGTGCCTGGCTAATTTGTAAAGCTTTCTAGAATGGGGGGGACCTAAAATACCTTTTATTAAATCGCTTATTATCTAAACAATATTTGCAAACCGTTTCCCTGTTTTAAAATTTTTTAATGCAGCATGTAAGTTGATCACTTTTTTGTTGGCGTATCGTAATGCGTAGTCCGCGTAAGTTATGCTTGTGTAAAAGAGTTCCGATTTTGAGGGGAGACAAGTCACTTTTCGAAATGGGGAATGAAGGACAATCTTAATTTTAATTCTATATGTGTGTACTGTTCTTATTGCATGTTAGCGCTTCTATCATTATATAAACCGTTTTCTAGCTGCAATTTGTTTATGCACCACCACACTCCCCTCTCTCTCCTTTAGATGATGTATTAGAAAATTTCTGGGTGTCATATGACCTGCAGTGAACAATTCATTATGATTGGTACAAGATTGGTACGAGATCAAATTCCAAAGACCGAAGGGCTAAATGATGAATTAAATCTCGTATCAACCCGTATCTATAGCTATGAAATGTTTAACAAGAGGCTCATGGGACACATCGCTCACCTGAGCACTGTGGCTAGGAAAAAGTATAAATTGGATTATTACTGAAAAGTTTAGTTCCAAAAGTAGTCCTATTACCAATTATATCTTTGATATTCGTGAACAGATGATTTTTTAAAAAAATATTTCCTATATATTTCTATATAAAACTTTCATCGGCCATTGTGGCCCCGCCCTACCCCCGGAGGTCAAGATTTGAACAGACTTGAATCTACACTACCTGAGAATGCTACCATATGAAAATGGTCAAAAAAGGCTTTGTAAATCTTCAGAAGAAGGTTTATAAAATCCTATATATTTCTATGTAAAACTTTGATGGACCATTGTGAACCCGCCCTACCCCCGGAGGTCATTGAACAATTGAACAAAATTGAATCAACACTACCTGAGGATGTTTACCCATTAGTTTCATCTTTCCTGGCAAAATGGTTCTTGAGGAGAAGATTTTAAAACATGCAGTCAAATTTTCATTAATTCCCAATTATCTCCCCTTGAATGAGGACGTGGTCCTTCATTTGTACTGACTTGAATCTCCTTCACCCAAGGATGCTTTGCGGCAAGTTTGGTTGAAATTGGCGGTTCTTGAGATGAAGCCGAAAATGTGAAAAGTTTGCAGACATCTAGACAGACGGACAGCTAAGTGAGTTAAAAATGATACATCATTATTTATATTTACATTCGTGACTTATTCATACATTTTATTTTCCTGATTGTGACTTAAAACGCATGAATTGCATAATTTTTCAAACCCAACGGCATAAATGTAATGCACTGGACGCGTGTCAACCCTTTATGACACCACTGAAAAATGACATCGAACGTTGATCCATACGCACATATATAACCTCTTGACTCCCTACTGGTATTTATAGACATGCATTGCTTTCAACAGTGTTATATAAAGGAAAACATTTGCAAATGTAATTTTTTGTTATAATACAGCAAAAATACGATACATATAAATGTAAATATAAAATTAACTCACTTGTGTTCCAAGACCGACAACATCTTCTCGAGTAAAAAAGGAAGAAAATTACAAATATAACTAATAGTACGATCAATAAGGAGACTACGCCAGCAATTATAGGTACGGTCTCAATCCCCGGCTGCAAATTCGAAGTACTGTTTGGTAACACCGAGGTAAGATTAAAACTCTCTGTGGACAGGATATATGATGAGGAGTCAGTGGGTTGAATTAAAGTTGTTGATTCTGAATCTTCCTGACTCCTTAAAAACAAAATCATTCAATAACATAAGACTTTTTCAATTGTAATATCTAATGAGAGGAAAAAACAGAGTACACCGATTCACTTACGTTTTGTTTAAACAGTTTTCATTCGCCAGGTAGCAACGTTTCTGTGGATTTATTTCCAAGCAGGCTGGATCTGAAACAATCATTACCTACATTATTTCCAATAATTTTTTTACTTACAGCCCTTCATCTCTTAGGTATGTTTTCCATCAGAAAAACAGAAGTTCTTACATTTGTAAACTTCATTGGTAAGGTAAGGTTCTTTTGGACAACCTTTGAGAAAAGTGGAGCAGTTGATGGCGTCTAGGTGTCCCGATGATAAAGCAAAAGGGCAAGTATCTAAAGACATAAGGAAATATATTCAAAGTATTATAAGTCAGTTCACACCCCTCAGCCATGAATAAAAGCTTTATTATTAAGATACTATATTACTTTATTTCATGTTATTTTTCCTCTAAACTGCTTAACATTTGTCACACTTGCAAGTGATAATGAAATTAAAATCTGATAAGAATTATTATCCTCTTCATGTTTTATTTTAAAGCCATATATAGCGTAACAGATCAAAAAATATATTTTTGAAAAATACAGAATTAAGTAAAGAAATATAGTTAATACATTTAAATTAAAGCTTTTCATACAAATATAAACGCAGAGAACACCTCGTTTCATCTAAAAGTACGATTTTATCTTCTCTGTAATGTGTTATTTAAATCTTTTGTATTTTCTTCCGAGTCGGAGAAAAATTCCGAGAATCCAAAATAAATTGTGATATCTTTTTAACGCAAATGACTTACATTTGGTACTTTAGGGAAAAGTTCTATCTTTATATAAAGTAATGATACAAATAATAAGTTCTTATAATTTTAGTCTAATAATTATCATTGTATATACGCCATATATGGCTTTAAACTAAGAACTATAATTGATTAAACACGGAATAATTCCTCCCTTCCGTTTCTGTGAAAAATACATGGAGTTGTTGCAATTGGGGCATTAGTATTTTTAACTGATAACTGGTGCTCAGTATATCTTAATTTCGAGTAGAAGCAAACAAAAAGTGTCTTAGATTTGTAGATTTATTTTGAATAACCCTACCTAAAAAGAAAAAAAAAACATGGCATGTCGGCTAACAAAGCACGCATCGGAAATCCAACATAAACGTTAGAATATATATCTTATTTATCCATTGTTGATGTTTTCCACAACGTAAAGAAATTGTTTAAAATAATCAAAAGAAAAATTCGAATATTATTGTTTTACAATTAACTTTGACTCACTTTCTCCATATCTGCCAATACTCCCTTGAAGACAAAACTCCACAAGTGACGATCTGCCATCATTAGGTACACACTGGTACAGGTTCCTTCCTAGTGTATCATTGGGACACTGTAACTTTATCCCGTTGTTCAGCCAAGTGAGACCATCCTTAGGACAAGCAGTCACAGGTCTGAAGTTTACATCCATATTTCATCTACAACAAATTTCTGTAGTAAATCAATATGAATTAATCAATTGATATCATTCCAGGACTTAGACAAATCAAATTTGTTTGTTTCTTCCCATTTTCTCTCTATAATTCTTTAGTACTTACATATCCATTTATTTTCATTTTAACTTTCTTTAAAAGTTAGATTTTTGTTCATTTTCTCAAGAACTACCATGGATGATGATATTTATCTCCATTGTTACACCATAATAACGTACTTGACGTCAAAACTATAGTGCAAAATGTTTTGCTTCAAAATGTCAGTTGAATGGCGTAATTTGTAGTGACTCATCAGAAAAATAATGTAAATATAAGAAACAAAATTTAATTTTTGAACGTTCATGAGGTACATGAATTACAACGCTTCACGCCGGCATATTTATCATGAAGCGCCAACACGTTTTATGAAATATGCTGGCGAGTAGCATCGTAGTTCATGGCCTGATGATTCTTCAAAACTTTAATGCATTTCTTAATTAAATTAAATGAATGCAATGCTATGTTGCAACGCAAAATGTAATAATCACAGGAGATGTTAAAAAAAAAAACATGGATTAAAGCATTTTTGCTTAATTACATTTTGCGTCGAAATTAACGCAGAATATAAGAACGCAAAATGTAATAACACACTATTGCGGATTATTACATTTTGCGTTTTTACATTTCGCGTCGAGATCAGCGCAAAATGAAATAATGCAAAATTTAATAACACGATCTTTGGATTATTACATTTTGCATTTTTACATTTTGCGTCGAGATTAAGCAAAAGGCTAGAACGAAAAATGTGCTTGCACTTTTTGGTCAGCGAGATTGATTACAATTTACAATAGAGGATTGTTCAATGAAAAGACAAGACATCAAAAGAAAAAACAAGATAGATATAGGGCGTTGCGCAAGATGTTGGTACACATTGATGTTACGCCAGAATAACATAATTGAAGTAATAAAGGTGTTATAACGTTTTGAACATTAAACGTGCATACTTATTTGGACCTGAAAATGAATTTCATTTTTCAAAATAAAATTATAAAAATAAGATAACAGGACACAAAATATTTAATGTTTGAACCATCTATTTGAAATATTAAAATGATTATAAATAAATCTTATGATTTATTGTAGAATTTTATTTACTGGATTGTCAAAGGCACCCAGTGAATATACATTGTAATCTTCTTTCTTTTTCTTTTTTTTTACTTTGTATTGCCAGTCTTAAAAAGAGATAACACTTGTGTAGCTTTCCCTTTCAACCATTTCTCCTTCATTTTTTTCAGTTAAAGTATTATAAGTTTCTTTTATTTCTACATATTATAGTTTGTAGTTCAGTCTAAAGTTTCACGTTACGTCACGATCTAGGTGACATCTGCACTCGAGTAAATTGTACATGTACACGCTTCCCAACCGCAAGCTTTAGGACAGGAACTTTCTTCTTATCCCTGATTGGTTGCTCGTGCAACACATTATTTCCGTGTCAATCTTCATAATTTGAGTTGAGAAGCCCCGTGGGGATCCGGGATAAAATAGGTCCTCAATACCCCCTTGCTTGTCGTAAAATTCGACTAAATGGGGCGGTCATTCGGATGAGACCGTATAAACCGAGGCCCCGTGTCATAGCAGGTGTGACACGATAAAGATCCCTCCCTGCTCAAAGGCCGTGAGTGCCGAGCATAGGCCTAAATTTGCAGCCCTTCACCGCCAATGGTGACGTCTCCATATCAGTGAAATATTCTGGAGAGGGACGTTAAACAGTATACAATTAATTAATTAATTGAGTTGAAAAACCACGTGAATTGTTTACGCTGGATGCATCTGACGAAAAAGATCGTGACGTAACGTGAAACTTTACACTGAACTGCAAACTATAAAAACGTCCACATACGCATTGGTTTGCATAGAGAAAAATGAGAGCTACCGGTTAAATTTTTCATACGAGTATTTCCTTCATTTCAATGGAACTGGTTGTCATTTTGAATTAAAAAAATATATGCTGAGTACACGAATAGATTTTTTGTATTATAATTTTCGTGCTGATGTATCTTTGTGATGTGAATCAGTTCTTTTATGATAGGTAATCGTTTTTTTTTTATCCTATAGTACAGTTTTTTATATATTATTATTTGTCTTATATTTTTATCTGGTACACATCACTTTTTCGGCTCATGTCAATGTAAGGAAACGATTTTTTTTTTATTAGACATTTTAGTTACACAATGTAGATCAAGTCCAATTACATGAAATTAATAAAGTAACATTAAACACTCAATAACACCTTAAAGAATGCATATGATTAATTGTATCTCCTACATTTCATTTATTTTAGAGGATTGTTAGTGAATTTTTCATACCCTGAAGTTGCGAGAATAATAATTGATATAACGCTGGACACAGAAATTTCGCCGTTATGACCAATAACGAATTACGTTTTATCATAGTTAAAATATTTGAAAGCTATTCAAAAGAGAATATTTTTCGAATTATTTATAACTTAGGATATCATGAATAATTTTCTTTTTAATTTAAAGTTGATATTAAATCTTGAAACTGCAAATTTTTTTGCGGCATAAAGAGTTAGATATTATAGTACCAACACCATGGGCAAGGTCATATGCAAGTTTTTTTTTTTTTTTATTTTTTATTTTATACAGTTAATGAAGTTTATAATATATTGAGTTAATTATTCAATTATGTATTCAATTATAGGTGTTGCAAATTAGAAAACTGCGTGTGTGTGTGTACGGGATTGTTAGGTGTAATAACCAGTGTGCTTTTGCTTTTAATAGACAAATGTAATGAATTTAAACAAGAGGCTCAGAAAATAAGCAGAAATCAGTTTATTATTGAAAAGTTTAAACCCAATAGTAGTTCCAACCAATCCTTAAAACAGAGAGGGTATGATTTGAACAAACTTGAATCTTCACTGACTTAGTATGCTTTCCTATTTCTTTGGTTACCTGTGGCTTTATTGCCCTTTTCATTTGAACTTACACTGTGGCCACGCCCTTTACCCCCAGGGGTCATGAGTCATGACTTGAACACAATAGAATGTACACTACCTGAGAATGCTTCCTTATGAGGAGGACTAATCATGATGGTCTGCCTATTCTTGAAATGATTTTTTAAAGATTTTCTCTACATGTTTCTATGTAAAATTTGGACTCCATGTTGTGACCCTGCCCTACCCCTAGGGGTCATGATTTAAACAAACCTGAATCCACACTATCTGAGGATGTTTCCATATAAATATAATCATTCATTACTTTGCTATTATTGAGAAGAACATTTTTAAAGAATTTTCCTATATATGTCAATGTAAAACTTTGATCGGCCATTGTGGCTCCGCCCTGCTTCACTGGTCATGATTTAAACAAAACTGAATCTACACTACTTGAGGATGCTTCCATATAAATATAATCATTCGTGTTGTTGCTATTCTTGAAAAGACGATTTTTAAAGAATTTTCCTATAAATGTTTATGTAAAACATTGATCGGTCATTGTGGCCCCGCCCTACCCTCAGTTGGTCATGATTTGAACAAACTTAAATCCACACTACCTGAGGATGCTTCAAAATAAATAATATCATTTATGGCTTTGTTATTCGTGATAAGAAGATATAAAAAATTCTATTTATTTCTTTGTGAAACTTTTATTGACCATTTAGACCTCACCCTACACCCAGGGGTCATGATTTGAACAGACCTGAATCTACACTACCTATGGCTGATTCAATATCAATATGATCATTCGTGCCTTTGTTTTTCTTGAGAAGAAAATTTTTAAAGAATGTTCCTATATATTTGAATGTAAAACTTTGATCACCCATTGTGTCCCCGCCCTACCTCCGGGGGTCAGGATTTGTACAAACTTGAATCTACACTACCAAAGGAAGCCTCCCTATTAGTTTCATCTTTCTGAGAACAGTGGTTCTTGGGAAGAAGATTTTCATTATTTTTCAATTATCTCCCCTCCAGTAAGAACCTGCCAATTCATGTGAACAAACTTTAATCCCTTTTACATAAGGATACTTTGTGCCAGGTTTGATTGAAATTGGCACAGTGGTTCTTGAACAAATGTTGAAAATGATGAAATTTCATTAATACTGGTAGGTGTAAATATATAACAGGAAGGGAGTTTGTTGACAATTATCGTACCACACTGTTCCATACAAATCACCATAAGATAAGCAAAAACAAAAGTATCTCTTTCTTTACATCCAATATTTAAATAGATTGTTTTTGCATGTCCATAGTAAAACAATGCTCCTCCGCTTAACTTGACACACACATAAACTTTTAATTTGTTAACCAATGTACACATGCCGAACATACATATCAAGAGCTTTTAATAGACCTATAATCAATCTTTGGTAATTGAATATGTGTTATTGGTAAGGAATTTAATAAGAGTAATTTATTGGAAATATGTCAATCAAAGTTAAATTAAAGCTTTATAATTAAGCACCGCGAATTCAATAAAACTTAAGTCACAGTTAGAAAAAAAAAACAAGATGTGTTTGTAAAACACTGATGCCCCCGTATGGCAACATAGCAAAGATTAAGCTTTTCTTAAATGCAAATTTAATTAATTGGTACCAAAAGTAGGGTATTATCACTGGAAAAGAATTGTGAAATTTGAAAGTAAGATAATGTTAAATTTTTTAAAAATACAAAAATCTCCAAGGTCAAGGTCAAAAGGTCAATGTAATTAGTATCAAATGAAAGGTCTTCCACATAAAATACTTTTGTAGAGCATGAAAGCCCTAGCCCTAACCGATCAGAAGGTATGGTCAACGTTCAATTTCTTAAAAAGTAGGTCAAAATCCAAGGTCAAGGTCAAAGTTATTGTTATCAAATGAAAGGCCTTGTCATAATGATCAAATATATTAAGTATGAAAGCACTAGCCCTAACTCTTTAAAAGTTATGGTCAAAGTTTGCTTTTTTAAAGTAGGTCAATCTCAAAGGTCAAGGTCAAAGTTCTTGGTATCC